ATATTGACTTTGAATACCTTCCGATTCTTAAAGTTTGGAAGTTTGATAAAATGTTTCAGCTCAAACCTATCGTTTATCAACAGTTAGTCCGTATTTTCTATTCCAATGCGGTATGTATTCAAAACAAAACTCAATGGGACTATAGCCATTAGATCCTATCTTTTAGGCCAATATATTAATATTGACCCCGAGACTATAGCTTTCTATTTTGGGTTAGATGATGATGGGTTATTTAATGAATGAAAATGTGGAATATCCCTACCAAATTCTAGTGTTAGTACTCTACGATCTCATCACGACCGTTTTCTTCATTTGATGATTTCTTGGTGGTTTAGAACATCCGGAGGTAGGTACTCCACTCTATGTGCTAGGGATTTATGGTGGATGTACTGTATTAAAAATAAGATCAAAATAAATCTGCCCCACATTATTTTTAGTCAACTAGTGGACATCATAAACATTGTTCCTTCAAAACATATCGAAACATTGATTTATGGATGTCTTCTGAGTAATCTCTTTATCAAACTCGGTCTAGACGTCTCTCTCGACAATCCTATCCCACTCCAAAATCAAATCAATCTTACTTCCTTGAAGAAAGCAGATTGGAAACAAGACGAGGAAACCGGTCTTTGGGTCTTTCGACCCGGTAAGCAAAACTCCGGGAGCGAGTTCTTCACGAGCTCCTCCTAGCTCTTCTCATGCTCCTCCTCGTCCTCCGGCACCGGCTGCTGACGATGATCCTGAGTTTCAACAACTTATGCAAGATATCGACGATCACGTTCCAGACGATGAGCCTGCACCGGAACCGGCACGGTAAAAAGATCAAATGTCACCATATTTTCGATCCTTCTTGGAGTCATTTGATCTGTGGTTTGACTCCATGAGTCTCAGATTACTAAGTTTCAGTGGGAGATATGTGAACGTATGGACGCACTCACTCTTGAGTTCGAGCTCATTATCCTCCTCATCCCGATCCTCTGATGGAATGAATTTGTTTCCTTGTTATGATTTCTTGAATTTTCACACTTGGATTGATTTTTGATGTTTCTGGATGTTTAAACTTGATGGTTTTTGGATGTTTTGAACTTATTTTTTGTTTTATGGATTTTTGAACTTAATATTTATATATATTTGGTTTGAATTTTCATTATGAATTTAATGTTTATTATTTTATTTTTGCATCATTTACATACTAGTTACATTATGACCAATTATGTCATTTCACATTTGTTTATGAATATTGATTATGAAACTAATGGCTAATCTCTCTTTTGATTGTGATCTTAGCAGCTTAAGCTATATATATATTTATAATCAATTGGCTATTTTTTTCAAAAACTTGTTTAAATCGATTTTTGAGTCTTTTTGATTTAACAAAAAGGGGAGAAATGTCAAAGTAATTAAGTTTTTTTTAAGGGAAAAGTGTTAAAGTAAGGGGGAGTAATTTCAAACTTGGCTTTCAAAATTTATTTTCAAAGAAAATCTTAAAATTACTCAAGTGCTTTGTTATATCAAAAAGGGGGAGATTGTTGAAAACATTTTGATGTTTCGATATAACAAACTAAGTTTAAATGAATTTTAAGATTTTACAAATGATTTTCTAAGTATATTCGATTCAATTAATCGAATATCAAATTATTACTCCAAGTCTTTCAAAATCAATTTTAAACCTTACTAAATGTGTAAAATTATGTTTTATACTTAAACTATTTTTTAAACAATTTTCACAAAGTATTTTGAACTGAAATCAAGCCTAAAATCAATTTTTAAGAGTGATGCACCGATGCACAAATTAATTTTTCAAACATCGAATGCATTTTATGCATCGACGCACATACCATGCATCGATGCACTCAGTGCATTTGATGCATCGATGCACAAGACCATGCATCGATGCACTCAGGCTTTTTCAAAACATCGAATGCATTTTATGCATCGATGCACACTTGGTGCACCGATGCACTAAGTGTTCCAACAGTCAAAATATTTGAATTTTACACTAATGCACCATGGTATGCATCGATGCACTGACGCTCCCAACTGAATTTAATTAATTGTTTTCACACTTAAACGGCTCTATTGACTCCACTAAGCATCCCCAACATTCAGAATCATTTGAAGGTGTATTTAAACAAGCTTAGAAGCCATTGATCAATAAAAGAAACAACAATCAACAAGAATCAAGAGATAATCAAAGAGAAAGCATCAAACCTTAAGTTTGAGCATTTCAAGCCTATTTTTCATTCAATATTCATTTTTCTTTCAAGAACACTAATTGTATTCATTTTTTAGTGTTCTTTTCTTTGTTCTAGAATTGTGCAAACACTCTACCTTGTGAGGATTTCCTTGTAAGTTTGCAAATTTGTAATATTCTCTTTGAGAAAGAGTGTTCTCAAGAATTGGGGTATATTCTTGAGGGAGTTGTAAGGTTATCTCTTTGGCCTCAAAAGAAAGAACAAATTAGTGAATTTGTTGGAAAATCCTTAGTGTGGATAGCTAAGGTAGTGGACGTAGACTTTGATTGAGAAAGTCGAAACACTCTAAATCGATGTGCAATTACTTTCAATTTTCTGCAAAAGCTTCCACCAAAATTTTAATTTCCAATTCACCCCCCTCTTGGTCGATTCCGTCGATCGATTAACTCAACACACTTTTTTAAATGGGATTCTTACTAGGGAAGTGTATATGATTCAGCCGCCAGGTAACGAGTAAGGTGATGGTAACATTGTTTGTAAACTTCACAAGGCTATTTATGGGCTTAAACAAGCTCCTTGAGCTTGGTTTGAGCAACTTTGCATGTATTTGGAGTTTGAGGGTTTTATTTTAGCAAAATCTGATTCATCTCTTTATGTTCACTAGTCAGCTACCAATGTTATGTATTTGTTGGTGTATGTTGACGATATTATTCGCACTGGAAATAAACCTGATGAAGTGCAGTTTGTTATTAACAATTTGAACAAACAATATTCGTTGAAGGATCTTGGAACTTTGAGTTATTTTTTGGGGTTGAGGTTTATTATGAGGCAGGTAATATTACGTTGAGTCAACGAAAATATATTGGTGATTTGTTACAGCGTAGTGGCTTTGTTGGTGTCAAGAGTCTTCCTATTCCCATGGTGTCAAGTTGTAACTTGTCAGTTAAGGATGGATTTAATTTTGAAGATGTTTCTTACTATAGAAGTATAGTTGGTGCATTGCAAAATGTTGTCATTACTCGCCCTGATGTGGCATTTGCAGTCAATCGAGTGTGTCAGTTCATGAAAGCTCCACTTGATACTCATTTTCAAGCTGTGAAGCGAATATTGTGTTATCTTCAGGGTACTATTGATATTGGTTTACGTTTCTCACCTTCCTTAAGATTGACGTTAACTGGTTTTGCTGATGTCAACTGGGGGTCGGATGTGGATGATCGGCGCTCTACTTCTGGTTATTGCATTTACTTTTCTGGGAACTTAGTCTCATGGAGTTCTGAAAAACAATAAGATGTAGCCAGATCTACTGCTGAGGCTGAATATCAGAGTATTGCATGTGCTGCGGCTGATATGGTATGGCTTCAGTCCTTACTTACTGAGTTGCATGTTGTTCTACATGGTACACCTACATTATGGTGTAACAATACGAGTGTTGTTGCTTTATGTGCTAACCCTGTTCTTCATTCTAAATTCGAACATATGGAAATTGATTTGTTCTTTGTTAGAGAGATGGTTGCTACTGTAAAATTGCAGGTTCATGAGGTTCCAACAGTTGAGCAGGTTGCTGATATTCTAACTAAACCATTATCTGCTCCTTTATTCCTAAAGCATAGACAACGACTGTTGATTGTTCAACTCAAGGATAAGTTGTTGCTTCGTGAGTTGAGCAGTAAAAATGTAATTGAAGAAGTTGACGAATGATGAAGGAATGATGAAGGCTTTGACAAGTTGTTAAGTAGGGTGAATGTTGAAGAATGAAGGTCTTTGATGTGTTTGTTATGAGTTGTCAAGTAGGGTGAATGTTGAAGAATGTATTGCATTGCATGAATTTGTTAAGAGTTTGTTACAGGGTTGCTTGCAAAGTTGGTAAAAGAGGTAGTCGTTTGTTCAGCCTTGTATATAAGCACCCCTTGTATGACTTAAAAGGCAGCTTTTTCATTCTAATAAAAATGACTGAGATTTTCTTCTCTTCCTTTCTTTGTTATGAGTGTTTACATAATAACTGTTTGGCTATCTTAACACTAAGATTCTACACCTAGATTACTTGAGAGAGGTTTTTAAGGAGAAGATGAAATATTGTTCGAGCGTTAAGGTGGTTAATTGAGCGAGCTAGAATATGGATTGTGCTCGATCTATACTTCTTGTTATGGGGATGATAAATACTCGAAAAATGACAATTCTGGTGTTATAGAAGAGTCCAAATGTGTGATGGATTTGCTCAACCATATGGTGATTACTTTGAAGCCGAGTTTTCGGAGCTCCGTACATTACTTGTTGGATTGAGATTCGTTTGTGATATGGGATGGATGGCTGTTCAATTTGAAACTGACTTAATGACACTTGTTCACAAGATTACAAAAGATTAAGATGATATTTCACCTCTCGATGATTTATGTAGGAAGCTCGGACAATTTTTCAGAACAATTCTCAGTTTCATGTTACTTATGCTAGTCGTTCTTGTAATTATGTTGCTCATCAGTTAGCTAGTTGCAACTAGTTGAGCTCTTAGAACTGGTGACTTTTTATTCTTTGATTTGTTTTATTACTCTTTGATTTGGTTTATCTCGATATTATTGTTCATGACATTCAAAATAATGTACTTAATATTTGATTTATGGTAATTGGACACTTTTTTTATTGAGTTTAGAAAGAATTTGTATTGGACACTTCTGTTTTTAGTGGATTTAGATCCTTATTGAGTTTAGAAAGAATTTTTAATGAGGCTCATTCATGATTTTTGCTCAAAAAAATTAGAATTAAGATAAGAAAAACTGCATTACAATAGTACTTAATGAGGAAACTTTTAAATATTAGAGCCACTAGGATTGTAAAATACAAAGCAAAAACAAATTGTATTATTTTCTCCACAAATCCTTCCATTAGGACTTAATAGTAGCATACTGGTGCAAAGCTATGCGATAGCAATTCCAGAGCGAGCATACGCTACTTCAGTAACAAGCACTACTACTACTACTACCTCTTATTCTATCTGTGTTTACTATTGCTGCTACGCTCCCGATCTCGATCTCGATCCCGTTCCCGACCTCGATCCCATTCCCGTTGCCTTGATCCTCTTGAGTGCCATGGTTTCTCTTCCCACTCGGCTGATTGTGGTGGAGATGACTCGTACCTTGATGGTTTCCTTTTGAAATGTCTATCATCGTCACTGGACTCATAATCTACAGCATTGCTACTACTGCTCTTCCTCCCACCACCACTTGTAGTAGAAACCGCCTTGGCAGTGGCCGATGATGTCTTGTAATCATATCCATTGGAGGATGGTTTGTGATGGCCAGAGGACGCAGGTTCATCAGAAGATATCTTCCGTTTCTTGCTAATTTCTTCTGGAAAGCTAATGCGAGAAAACACACTAGGCTTTGACTTCTTATCCGTTCCTGATGTAGTCGTGGAAGTTAATTTGTGTGCTTGTTCAGGCTCAAGCTTGGAAGACTCGGAGCGATGATGATGATGATGATGGCGATCACGATCACGATCATCATAGTTATGGTCATAATCACATTCAACGTCATGATTCTGGTCAGCTTTCCTCTTTGAAGGGCGTGGAGGTGCTTCATAGTCCCGTAAGGAACGTTCTGGTGAAGTCCTCTCTGATCGATGCCGAAGATGCTCATGGCGACGATTACCACCTGACATTTGTGGAATAGGCTTCTGCAACAAACAAAACATAATTGAAATGATACATCATCAACAGATCATCTTGTTCCTTCTCATGTTACTAATCAGAAATACAAGCTTAAACTGCGCAGCTCTGACCAACTCTATATGCCTATCGTTTTTCAGTGTAAGCTACCATAAAAATACTCGAGTGAAAGAAGTAGGCCTAGACAATTGATTGGTGACATGACAAACAAGAATAAAAGAAAGCTAGGTAAAAAAGCACATACGGATTTTGACTTCAGTGACGAAACATCAGCACTGCTGCTCACTTCCCTACCAAATTCCCGATCTCTAGACATCTCCCTGCAATAATTTCAGAAATATTAAGTAAACCGTTTCATCCGGTGAATCAATCCCTGTAAACAGAAAGATATTATTCAACACCTACAGGAAGCCCTTTACAGGGATCTCAGGACTTGCATGCACCTTGTCCCAAGGAGTAGCCAAATGAATGACTAGGAAATAGGAATTATTCCGAGCTCAATGGAAAGTATAAACCAATGGAATAACAATAATGTACATAGCAAGTTTAGAATAATAAAAGTATGTTCAGTACCTTTCACCTCGTCTCTCATTTTCACGCTTCCTAATCAAAGCAGCTTGCCTAGCCTCAAATTCCTCTCTGCTCATGATAGGTGGGGCAACATTCATACCCATTCCAAACTCCGCAAGATCTCTACAAACCATTAAGTTGACAAAAAAATCAAAGATGTCCAGACTCCAGATATCATCAGTACATAAGAAACCAAATAATACATGATCCAATATTTTTTTAAAAAGAGACAAAAATTCCATGCCACTGGCAATACACACACAACTGGTATAAACATAGGCTATTTAACAAATGTTACACATACCTCTGGGGTGGGATGGGAGGAAACATATAATTTTGAGCACCAAAAGGATCTGGAGGCATGACACCTGCGAATGGCATGTCCATTGGACCTAGTCCATACCCACCCATATAGGGCATCACTCCAGTATAAGGACCCATAAATCCATCCATCCCAGGCTGCATACCAGTCCAGTAAGGGTTATAGGCAGAGGGACCCATAGACATCATATAGTTCTCAGCTGCAAGATCCTGAGAGGTTTTCCACTGCCAGTCTGGAGTGGAACAAGATTCAGGTTAGAAATAATACTAATAATTTTATAAAACTCATAATCAATAGTACAAAATAGAGGCTACAAACCTACCACTTGCTGGCAAAGGAACCTTCTTATTTTTCTTTTTCTTTCCTGGAGAAAAAAAAGGATCAAAATTAAACCAATGATCCATCTATTTTTCTTCATTTCCACTAAAGAACAAGTACTACTTACTCTCACTATAATACACACACAATATATATCCAACTCAGTGCAAGATAGAACAGGGAAGATGGCAAAAAAATTTAGTGCATGAACAATGAAAGTTCTTAACAGACACATTCGAGAATTTCTTTAAAAAATGACACTAGAAATAAATCTCAGCCACAAGCTTTCAAGAACGGGAATGATACTGAGGTTGACAAAAATGAGATAGACCACGCCAAGCATTTCCACCCAGGTTTAACCCCAAAATCTACCACACCAGCAAGGAGGTCAGTACCAATGTTCTTAAAGGTTTCCTTCTAACTTGGGCAAAGAAATAAAACATAATTACCTGCCTCTCCAGAAGCCACCTTCTGTTGCACTTCTTCCTCCACAAGTCTCCCTTGTGATGCAGGCTCCTTCACACTCATTGACTCCAGCGTAGCTTCAGATGCCTCAGCTAGTTTAGTTGTCGTTACTTTCTCCAAGATCTGCTGTGCGGGAATAGCTTTGTTCAACTCATTAGCTTTATCCTTAACATCAGGACTTTCTTCCTTGGCAGATACTGGTTTCTGCTCTCCCTTAGATGCAGCAGATGTAGTAGGAGATGGAATTTTCAGTTGTGGACCCCGTGCAGATTCCATATCTAGATTTGAAAGACAGGACAAATCAATAAAGATCCATACATCATAGAAGTCAGTTATAAGTTAATTAATTTGATTATGATTTATGACAACAATGATGAACCTTGAACTTGAAAAGTACTTCCAGCATTGTCAGCACTGCTGTTACCAGACTCCAATATACGATTAATGGTATCTCGTAAGGTTTTATTTGGAAGAAGATCATCAGTGAGTATGTTGGTCGCCCCACATACACACATCAGCTTTGAGATAATGTAGTCCCTTATACCTGAGATACATTTTGTAAATATGTGCTTCAAAATTACATATACAAAACCATTCAACAGGGAAACGAACCAAAAGATGCATGGGATGAGCAGGCAGCAATAAAACTCACATTTATCACAAAAACTCTTAAAACAACATTTGCTAGTTAGAACAGCATCTTTCATTACTTCCTTGCACAGTGGGCAGTGGAGTTCAGGTGGAAGGTCACCAACAGAACGAGTGGAAGGCAAGCCCTCAATTTCTTTCTCAAAGGCAGCCCTGTTGGAAACAAAAAAAAAAATAGTTTTCAAGCATAACAAATAAAATTGCCTACAAGCATGAAACAAAACCACAATAATAAGACAAAACAGTTACTCATTGGGTTTCAAAACCGCAACCGCTCCACTTGGCAAAGCGTAAGAGCCATCTGGAGTTGCCATTAGCATCGACTTTGGAATGCCAGTTGGAGGCTTCACCCTTTTAATATCATAGTTCGGATCACCATTTGTGGGGCAGTGTTGAATAAAATGCCCTTCATCACAAATTCAATAGCAACCACAGGTTCACGAAAAAGTATAATCTAAGCAAATGAAAAAGGAAAATAGATTCAACATACCAGGCACCTTGCAACGGTGACAAACATAGCCTTGAGGAGGCGTTTTGCGCTCCAATCCTAATCAATATCAATGAGGAAAACAAAAACTTCAGCTTAAAATACTATTTGGAAGAACAATTACTGCAATCAAATGCCCCACAAAATTTCAAAAGCTACTGAGCTAAATTAGAATAACAGCTACCACCCATTCAAGCATAAACAGGTTTACACACAAAACTGCTATATGTTATAGCAAAAGAGAGAGTTCCAACTGCGACTAATTTCCAGACGCGTTGTCCACTGACAAGCTCACACTTAAATGATGCAACAATGGACAAGGCTAGAACAATCACATGCACATATATGCATACACTCGCACACACTAACTAGGTAACCACAAAACTAATATCTCACATGCAAAAGCACAAGGCACACTTAAAACAAAATAATAAGCAGCAGAGAAGATCAAACTTTAAAATTCCAGAGATAAAAACTTCAATATAAAGTGAACATCATATACACAAAGCAATGTCCCCACCCAAAAAGACACCCCCACCATGATAAACAATGCAATGAAGACAAAAAGGGCTTAAGAAAATCACCAAAACCACGTCCACCCATCCTTCCACCCATACCCCTTCCAAAGCCTTTACCAGGTCCAAAGCCATCTGCACCTTGGCTGCAAACCCAAACAATTAAGAATGGACATTGCATCAATAGAAGTAACAAAAAAACAAAATAAAGAAATAGCATTCATCTCACCGCTGCCAATCCAAGGCAGGAGTATCTATTAAAGCCTTAATCTTACTTTCCTCATCAGCTTTATCAGTAGGGGGAGCATCAGGAAGTGGATTGCTTGACAAGACTGGTAGTGTTTCAGGGATTGAATACAAATCATTCCCAAATTCATCCCATTCTGAGTCTTCGGGCTACAAGTAAAAAGACAAGCCCAGCATATTAAATTCAATATTCGTAGAAGGCAAATTGGCAACATGAGTAGTGCAAAGTCAAACCCATTTTCATCAAGGAAAATATGTCAGAAGCAAAGCTTACATATTTTGGAACAGATGAATCAGCATCCAGGAAGTTACTCTTTTCTGGTTGAGCATTCTCAATCTGATCTGCCACCTTGGGCCTGTGAAGCATAAAAAAAATGCAAACCTAGAATTAGGTGGTTCTCTCACACTAGCCACCAATAGTCAGAACCAATCTAAACACACAACTGATCAAGTTCATGCAATTAACTGAACATTTAATACTTGTTTTCTTAACAAGTTCTCTAAAATTAAAACATTTAAGTTGTTTGGCATCTAAAGGACTGAGATAATACTCTGGTGCAGCAATAATGGGCATGCGAGGCCTTCCAGGAACCCGACGAATTAATACGGAAGTATTTTTCGGGATTAACATTGCTTCGTCCAGATATTCTGAAATTGAAAAGATAACACAAGTCTGTAAAACACTATAGAAAAATGCTATTTCATGAACGGAGACAACTACTAAAAATTGATATTATCATCAAATGGAAGATTAGGCCATGCTCCTAACTGATATTTTTAAGCTAGATTTAACGGGAAAATAAGAATTTGAATGCATTAAGCAAAGACCAACCTTCATTAGTTTGGGCATTAGTGACAACGAGGTCGAAGTCTGTACCCCTGCCCAAGTGCTTTGATTCAAATATTTTTTCTTTCAAAGTACCAACACTTATAAACGGACCATCCATGGAAATTGAATCAAAATCTCTCGCACTTTTAAATTTGTAATAAACAGCCATTTTTTACGTTTGTTTCCTTGAGAAAATAGTAATAATAATAAAAATAATAATAATTTTATAAAAAAAACACAAGAAAATTATGAACTTTTTATTGGCCTTCCAAACAAAATTAGGCCTGATATTCAATAAAAAAAAGAATATAAACAGTACAAGTTTTTCCCCTTATTCTAAGAGAAACCGAACCAAACTCGATTCTTCTTCGATGCAAAATTTGTCTCGGAGAAATCAACTCTGACAATTTCTTCACGCTGTATTCCAATAAATCGAATTTCTCAGCTAAACCAGAAGTTTAGGGCAAATCGGAGGGAATAATGAAAAAGCTCCTTTGCTCTTAGATCATCAAATTCACACGGAATCTTCGATTGTTTTACTAAAAGAATCGCTCCTTACAAATCAGTCGGCCCGATCTCCATCTTTTGAAACGCGAGCAAAAGTAAACCTTCAGGAAATAATCCTACAATCGATCGATCTTCAAAAGGAAACTCGGAAAATTTTAGACTTGAGATTCTGATACGCCGAAATTAAAAAATAGAACATTACAAGCTTGCAGAAACTCAATAAGAGATTGGAGAGAGAGAAATAATTAGCGAATAGCGATCATCGTGAATCTATAGGGTTTTGATATAGGTAAAGGGGAAATGGGAATTTGGGAAGAGGTTATCGAAAAGCTATATCCGAATATGGTCCTTCAACAAAAATAAATAGATATATATTATCTCTAAAGGACGGCCATATGCCCCCACCAGGGACATAACTACTTGCACATTAATAGGGGCCCAGGTCCCAATTATTTTTGGGTTAACTGCTTCTAGGTCCTCCTTGTTTTAAAGTTCGATAAATTAAGTCTTAACCCTTTCTCGGTTTGAATTAATTTTAGGTCCTCCTAGTTTTCTTGGACCTAATTTTTAGTTCACATACCTTTTAGTCCTATGACTTTAAAATATGCAAATTGTAATCTCTTTTCATTTTTAATTTTAAATTGTTAATTTAACCATTAAAAAAACTCTTCCGTATTCTACATTCTCCATCTTTGTCTACCTCCGTCATTTTCACTTTACATTAAAACTCTTCATTATTTGTCTCCACTCTCTAAGTTGATAAAAATTTGTAATCATATATTTAAACCAACAAAATCAAAACTATAAATAAAAACTTAACTAAACTACATTTTTCTAAAACAGAAGAAGCAATGTTATGATATACTTGATCTAAGTTTTAATAAAGAAAAACGGGCAAATAATCATAGGTTGGTTAAAATTTAAAAGTGAAACAATTTCACACATCGGTCAATATTAATGAAGATACAATCACTACATAGCTAAAAAAAGAAAATGGCTATCTGAATGAAAAACTTTGGATTTTCTCATGTTGGGAGATGTACCGCCCTGCAAAAACCCACAATTTTATCCTACTTGTTAAAACTTTGTGCCTGGTGAAAATGGACAAATTAAATGGCATGGAAATTGAAATCATGATTCAGCAAGTAGGCTTTGTGGATGCTGCAACCGGATTTTACCTTGCAATTCGTTGCGAAAATCGCTGAAATGGCAAGCTCTGAATGAATACAATTCCTGGTCCGGTTAGAACGGCTGTAACCAAATTGTTGCCCTGCAAGTTCGCATTGAAACAGCAACGAAACTTACAAGGCCATATACGTAAATACCAATCATGGGCATCAAGCAAAGTCTAAGCAGTGTAACTGGGACAGTAGAAGTAGAGTTATCAACCAGTGCCATTCAGTGTGTTCACAATAGAGACTCGGATGAGACATTCTTAAACGTCCCGATATTTTAAATATGTAGTCGATATTTACTAGAGAAAAATGGTCGACAGTAACAAATTTATTGGCTAAAATAAAATAAAAATCACAAATACAGGCACACAATTGCGAAAAGAAAAACATCAGGCACCAGAACTCCTACTCGACCACTAATCCACTATCATACCGAGTGTAGAAATATACTAAATGTCCATCGAAGCATTCTCATTTCTGCGGCCTCAATCCTCCTCACGTGATCCTTCTTGGTTGCCCAACATTCTGATCCATACAACAGCGCTGGTCTTATTGCCATTCTATAAAATTTTCCCTTAAGTTTTAGAGGGACCTTCTTGTCACACAGAACTCCAGTAGCGGCCCTCCACTTTAGCCATCCCGACTTTATACGGTGTGTAACGTCATCATCTACACCCCCATCTTTATGTATCATACCCTAGGTACTTGAACAATCCTTTGAGGGGAGAACGTGTCCTTCTATGCATACTTCTACATCTTCATCATTTTGGTTCCCATTGAAGTTTGAACATACATACTCTGTCTTTTCAATATTAATGAAGATACAATCACTACATAAGCTAGAAAAAAGAAAATGGCTATCTGAATGAAAAACTTTGGATTTTCTCTCATGTTGGGAGATGTAACCGCCCTGCAAAAACCCACAATTTTATCCTACTTGTTAAAACTTTGTGCCTGGTGAAAATGGACAAATTAAATGGCATGGAAATTGAAATCATGATTCAGCAAGTAGGCTTTGTGGATGCTGCAACCGGATTTTACCTTGCAATTCGTTGCGAAAATCGCTGAAATGGCAAGCTCTGAATGAATACAATTCCTGGTCCGGTTAGAACGGCTGTAACCAAATTGTTGCCCTGCAAGTTCGCATTGAAACAGCAACGAAACTTACAAGGCCATATACGTAAATACCAATCATGGGCATCAAGCAAAGTCTAAGCAGTGTAACTGGGACAGTAGAAGTAGAGTTTATCAACCAGTGCCATTCAGTGTGTTCACAATAGAGACTCGGATGAGACATTCTTAAACAAGTCCCGATATTTTAAAATATGTAGTCGATAATTTACTAGAGAAAAATGGTCGACAGTAACAAATTTATTGGCTAAAATAAAATAAAAATCACAAATACAGGCACACAATTGCGAAAAGAACAACATACAGGCACCAGAACTCCTACTCGACCACTAATCCACTATCATACCGAGTGTAGAAATATACTAACTGAAAGCGGCTTACCCCGAACACTGCTCTTCTTATTGGACCATTGTATTTGATTTGAATAACGATGAAAGTAGTAAGGGCCACAATGCATGACATATCAACTGCCAATACCTCTCCCACCTCAAGATTTTTCTGCATAACTAGCAAAAGAAAGAAGCCCACAGAATCCCAATGATCAGATACCTATGCATACAAATTTATAACTTCAATAGTTTGCTGCATGTAACAAAGGAATATGTTATCAACGGTTGGTTAAGCAATGAGTTTTTATCCTTTTTTCTATTAACATTTCTGGAAGGGAAGACAAGAACAACAAGTTCATAAGAAAATAGAAAATAGAAAATAAGGAAAATAAAACATGCTTCTTCATGACTTGTAATGAGCTATCTTTCGAATTAAAGCAATTCAAAAGATGTACAAAGAAAAGTTACATCTGAAAAGATCTTTGAACACAGCTGGCGTATGCAACATTACTCTACACCAGCAAGGATAAATGCAAGCCCCTGGCCAGATAACTTCTGTCTAAGAAATCCCTGCTATGCCAGCAACACATCCATCAAATAAACAGATACACACAGCTTAAAGAAACTGAGGAATAAACCAAAGAAACAGAAAAACTGAAATACATTTGAAAAGAACTTTGAACACAGCTGGCGTATGCATCTAAGAGAAGAATAAAAAATGATAAAATATTAATGTATCTTTATGTCACCTCTACACCGGTTACAACACTCCGTGGCCACTGATCAACTGTATTATTGACCTTCACATCATTGATGGAGCAAAGAAACGCATCTGGCTGTAAAACAAGTTTACAAGATGGTGTAAAGATTCCAAGCTAATATTGCACCAAAAATGAATTTCCACGAGCAAGTCAGCTACCTGAAATAAAAGCCCTCCACCGAACATTGCTAAATCAATCTGCCAAAGAAAAAAACATGAACAAACAACATATAGCTCATAGTTAGCACTAACAAAACGGCAATTTGGGACCACAAAACACTCAACTTGACAAGCACTATAATAAGTAAATAAAAAGTTGTTAGAGTTTGAAACACAAACCAAGAACCCTTGCAAGAGAAGTGCAGCAATGCCAACAATCCATCACTTAGACCATTATAGCGAAGAGCAATACTACTTATACTCTTGCCAAAAGTCACTGCCACAGCCTACCTCATTTTAAGGGACATAAGTATTTTCCATTTCAATGTACCCAGACATGAAGCACATGGAGCCTGCATTTGTAACATTCAACATCAACTTTGGATGAATTAAAGTCTCCGTTATAACAAACAATAACTAACATAATGCAGCAAGCCAATCATCTTATGATCAAGCAGCTCTCCTTACTGCTCTTCAGCAGAGGATCTAATGTGATCGTAATTATAAGCAAAACAATAGGATATGTGTAGATAGTTTAATTGATAGTAAAGTAACTTCTCCATTTATCGAACTTTTGACACTTTTAGTCACTATTTGTACTACAATATATTGGCAATAGGAAGCTGTAGCATTCCAAATTGTAGATTATAGAGCTTTACTCCTACCCTAGCAACCAACAATATACTTATCATAATATACAGAAAGCCTCACCATTCACAATTTACCAAGAACATTAGTTTATGATCACAATACTAAAATTGTGATGAAACCCTTCACCATGATAGCAATATTCCTATTTTAAAACATAAAACTATAGTAGTATTAACCCAACCAAGGAATACAATAGAGACCAAATAACCTACCGGGTTTTGCAATAACCTTTTCTTGTGGCTTCAGCATTATCTGGAAATGAAATAAAAATTACCAAGACTTTTTTAAAAAAGTTACATAATTACAGGTACAGATCATATACTTAAATTAAAAGAAAATTCTTTTATAAAAGCTAGGAAGTACCTGAACTATTTGAGCTTCACCACCCAATCTGAAATGGGGTCACATCATCTTGCGGGCTGTACATGAATTTATACCAACAAGAAACTATTACGTCTATAGATGCACATGTTGAGACATTTATACTACACAATATCATCCATCTAGTTTCATCGAGAAACTGTTTCCCCAACTCGGCGTTCGAGCTAGCTACTCTCACACTTTGATCACAGCAGTCTGAACAAGCTTATTTACAAGTTGATTACAACGGAGAAATTTCAAGATAAATGGAATCGAAGTCAACTATATTAAGGAGACCCCTATTAAAATTCTTCAACAATGCTAGATCAAATGCTAAAAAGTAAAGCCTAAATTCCATTAAGATTTCACGCCACTTGTCCAAGCAACAATATTCAATTTCCTTGTGATTACCTTTTTCCATGAAACAAGCAAAAAATCAGTGAAAGAGTTAGAGCACACAAGGAATTTTTGTAGAGAAGTTACCTGATACACGTAGGTTGAAAAGGAGTGGTCAAAAAGGGGCGGCCATGGACGTCGAGGTCTCGACTTTGAAATTAAACTCTTCTATTTCGAGATTTAATCAGACTTCAACACTTTAATCACAAAAATTCATAACGGCCAAAAATTAAAAAGAAAGGAAATTGGTGCTCTTCATTATTCTTATTAATGTAGGCGTCTGGGAATTAAATAGGTGGAGACTTGACTTACGAAATTAGCCTTGATATCTTCCGACGTTAGGATAAACAATGCGCGG